GCATCGAATATTATGTAAGTGGTTGGACCATCTTAGTATGACTCGGATATTTGTTGAATTCATAATTTTCAGTGTGAATTTAAATACAATGCAGCATCATGGTGAAAATTCATTACTTCTCATTTAAAATGTGGTACATTCATTTCGTTTTCATATGATAATGCTGGGTTGTGGACGAACAAATAGCCAAAAGCTTTTTATTTTTTTTCCCACTCCAATCATCGTCTCGATTTTAAAAAAATAGCTTCGAGAGGTAATGAAATTTTTTTTTCTTACAAAAACTTTTCCATCGATGTATCGATAACGTTGTTGAAAGAAATTCTGAACATTTCGCACAGAGTCTGTAAACTCATTTGAATAATTGAACACGAAATGCAGCTACTTTGTAAACCTCAACTCTGGCCATCAATGAACGGTTTTAGGTAATCGGTTCAAGCAGGTAAAAGGTCAATTCGTTTCGAAGCATGCCAATAGCCTGTCAAGTTAAAACTATATTTTCTCATATCATTCGGTTTCGGTATCGAATATTCAAGGGGAAGAATGTGTTGCGGGGCTGTCAAAAGCCATTTCGAAAACAGACATTATTCTTAATGTCGAGTAGTTATACTTTTTATATTATATGCATATCAGTGCTGATTCAAATGGGTTAACTCACTCACATGAATGTGAATGTGAAAAACAATTCACATTAGCACAAAACTTTTTCATCAAAAATAAAAACATGTGCTAATTCTCATTCACATTGTTTGGTTTTATTACAGCACGAGCCGTTGCAGTTCCATTGTAATAAGATCTAACGGATATATTCAGAAACTAAGCCAAAATAAGCCACAAATATCGTTTCCAATAGTCAATTTTACATGCCGTTCGACAAGTAAATCTCAAATTAATTGGTTTCAAATATTGGTATTAAATTTCCAGCAACTTGTCGAAGAAAACGATACGAACCAAGTTCAAGTTCTTTCATTTGCAGTAATCAATTTTGCTAGCGTAAACTCTATGAAAACTTTAATGAATTGGATTTTTTTTAACATGAAAACTGCTAATTTTGAATTTTGCTTAAAGAGTGAACGATTTTTTTTGTCGTTTGATCATAAAAACAACGGTAAGCAACAAAAAGGGTGTACGTTTTCAAAAGCAACGGAAATACACATTTTTACGTTAAACGGAATTTTAAATATTAATCGACTTTTTGCATTACAAAATAAAAGTTTATACCGAAAATGTTTGTCAGTTGAACAGGAAAAAACACACACTGTTTTCGGTTGATTGATTTGATCCGATATGACGAAGAGCGACGGTACGTCCGTATGTTCTGAAATTGTGTTCGCATAATCAAATATTGATGGTGACGAAATGATGCAGGTAAACGATGAATGGTTGGACAAAATGTCGTCGAAAATATGCAATGTATAATAAGCAATCAGTTTCATCAAGTTTCATTGCCTTCTGGGTACTTTGGCTCAAATTGTTTGTCGTCGTACGTTCTTTTTTTTCGCATCGTCGTTTGCATAACATCACATTCAACCAATCTATTCAGCAGTTGTTCGAACATGAAATTTATGCAAACACCAATTCAGATTTTTATACTGTGTTGCATGCTAGCCAATTCCATTGAGATTGGCAGAGAGAGAGGAGAGAGAGAGAGAGAGAGAGAATCTTGCCATAGCAAACAAAAATAGCTTTAAGATAAGAAAAGTTTTTCTCTTTTTTTTTGCTCTGTTCCTGCTTTCATTCACACAAATGGTACACATCGATGATGGGGTTTGCTTCGTTAGACGAACCGTTTTATGTGAATCAAAATATTGAACCAGTTGAAACATTGAACATACCAATTTGGCTGACACCAGCACATTTTCGAAACACCTGTCCAGACGTGTTAAATCTCTTGAACGGGAGTGCTTTGTCATAGAAACATACAATTCTTATTTTCAGTGAATGGACAACTTTTCGTTGACACTTTAAAATACTTACCATTGAACTGTCCGACGCAGCAAGGACAAACTGTCGAAGAGAATGGTCTCTATAAGATTTGCTCAAAATCAATATAATTATTTTTACTTTCTTAAAAAGAAACAAACTTCGGTCTGCTTTAAAGTTTTGATGTGAATTTTTATTTTTTAATCATTTTTCATTTTATTGTTGGATATGAATGATTTGTTCTTCGTTAGCTATTAAGATTGCTGAGCAAATTAAATATGATGTATACGATTGTGTTTTGTTTTGTTACTTTGAATTATCTGGACAATTAAATTTTTATATGACTATTCAAAAAAGATTGAATAGATTAAAACGGGAAAAAATTATGGCAATCAACATTGCTGTTGAACAATTGAAAGGGTTTCGGCGAATGCTTTCTCAAACATTTTCTTCCATCGTAGCTTAATCAAACCAATAGTCGGGCTTATTCAAAGCTAGCTCCGATTCGAGGTAATCAATTATCATCGGTCGATGATGTAACCTTTCAGCAATCAAAACTCTGAAAATGACACGATTTCATTTGAAATGATTTAATTCGAATGATAGATTTTCATAGACCGATCGATTTTAAGTTCAAATAAATAATTTATTTAATTGTGAGAATACATTGACCGACGTCAATGCGTCCGTCATTGATTGTTGCGATTCATTTGTTTCTGAATTTAATTTCCAGAAGTTGATTTATATATTGGAATATTTTTTGAATAAGCATTCGCTGAATACTCTCCCATTCATTCGGTGTCAGATACATATACATTCTTGTTTGCATTCTTTGATATTTTTTTCTTTGAATAATTACTTAAATAATTTTTATTTCGAACAATTTTTCGTTAAATATTTTTTTTCTGTAAAATTTTACACTTAATATGATAGTTTCAAGCAGAATTCCGACTTTTAGTTTAATTTCAAAAAGAAGTTCATAAGCACACAGCAAACAATGTTTGGCTTATACAAAATCGCGAACAATTTTATATTATGGAATACTGTGAATGAATAACACACACACCATATGATTAAACGGTTATCATTGCATTATAAAATTTGGAACATTATGTGAAACGCATTCAGAACCTTTATATATGATTGTCCGAGAATGAATGTGAGTCTTTTCGTGAGAGTTTATTGAAATGTAACACCGCCATACAAAATAAAATGTCTTACATACGTAAGATGAACTTTTCCGCACTGTGATCCACAAAATTCATTTATAACTTATCTTTTACTTGAATTTGAACTCACGAAAAACTGAATCTGACATTAGTTTTGCGATACACATAATTTTTGACACACTTTTTATATAAAAGTTACTTAAAATGGGAATTTTGGAATGGAATCAATCCTTGCATGACGACGTGAAACTTGACACAGGGTATTTTTTCACAAAAAGCCAACATTCTGGAAGTTTGAAAATATTTCAATACAATTTAGGGGTACTTCCCATACAAAATTTTCGTTTTTGGGTGAAAAATCCAAAATTTTGTTCGGAAGGTACCCCTAATATGTATTGAAATGTCTTCAAACTCTCGGAATATTATTTTAGTGTGATAAAAATAACCTGCGCAAAGTTTCAGGTCATTACGATATCATACAGGCATGGCTTCCATACAAAAATCCAATTTTTTTGAAATATTTGTATGAAAGGTGTGTCGAAATATATTTGTATCGCAAAACTAATGTCATATTCGGTTTTCTCGTACCCAAAAACTCCCCAATACATATTTTTGGATGTTTAAGAATACATTAAATATCACTTTTGGGGGGAAAATTGAATTTTTCCCATGGATGGCCATGGGCATCACACCAGACATGACACGTTACTCTATCAACCAAAGTCGCTCAAAATCTAATGGTTTCTATTCCTCGGCATCCCCAATCATCCTGTGAAGTCAGATTTTGAATTACTTTTCTGGTTTGAAAGTTATCGTGTTAACAAATTTTTGCGTACAGCGTACAGCGTACCACGCACATATATTCGGACATCGAAAAAACGCTAGATTCGTGTTCCCTGGGTCCTAAAACATCCAGAAAACATGTTTTTTGAGGGTGTTAATTTTTCGACCGATTCCAATACTTTACCTTACACACTAGGTGTGTGCGGAAAAGTAAAATGCTGACAGTCAGCATTTTTTGTATGGCGGTGTTACATTTCAATAAACTCTCACGAGAAGACTCACATTCATTCTCGGACATTCATATATATATATATATATGTATAGCGGCAAAAAATGTGAACATTATTTTAAAAAGATTTGTTGCTTTGTTTATATGTTATTTGTTGATAAATTGCCTAAAGTCACAAGTAAAGTGTCAGAAAATAGAAGAAGTTTGATTTATTTGCTTAAAATTCCATTTGCCTAAACCTTGCATCCAAGGTATTTCTTAACGTTTATACTCTGTTTGCATTTGTTCCATCGAATAACTGGTCAAAATTGGATGAAATTTTCAAACGATTCTTCCTTTTTTAGTTTAAGTTTTGATTTTAGATAAAGAGAACTAACTAACAAATTTACATAGGAAATATACTAGATAGTTATTTGTGAAATTAAATATTAGTTTGGTGCTTTTGGTTCATTTTTAAAAATCAACAGATTTAATTGGAAAAAGAGCATGAATGCTAGACCGTCATCTTGATTTGGCTTCTTTTCATTTATAACTTTATTCATTTTCAATCGGACGACCTGAAAATTTAACATTTTTACCTATCCTAGGATAATATAAGTATAATCATTTAATGAAAATGGAACGATGAACCTGTAGATCATACTCTTTTTCCAATTTTCCTATTTGAAATAAAATATTTGCTTCTCACTGAAATTAGTACTAATATATACAAATTTAAAGTTCAAACATGTTAATCAGACTGATAATCAACAAAAATGTGATATGAATATTTGTGTTGTTCACTTCAAAGAATATACAAATGATATGTATACTCCAACTGAAGCTAAAACATTCCGAACGAATGCTTAAAATCGTTTTGTTTTATTTACAATAAATCAGAGAAAACATGTGACCGAGAAAATTGATTTTTGCTGTAATGTTTTATTTTGATAAATATATCTATATATTTTTATTAAATTTGAATGAATCAGTAACATTTTAATGTGATTTTTGAATACAATCTATCATAAATGTTCAGGTAAAGACACAAAAATGAGAAAAATCAAAGCTGTCATCCCATCATATTTTCATCGTATGTGATCCTAACTTTTTTCTCTTCAAAGTTCGATAATAACTTCTTTAAAAGAATATTGTTTGCTTCGGAGAAACTTTTCGAACGAAATGTGTTTTTTTTCTTTTTAAAATTTTAAATTGCGATTTACATTCGTAAAATGTGCTAACATATTCCTAATCCAGACTTTAGAAGTGTTAATTTCTACTCGTTTTTGAAACCTTTTCGGAAAATCGCATTTAAATCAGACCAAAGCTAGATTGGTGTGCATAAGAAAAGAGCTACCGTTTGTGCAAAAGAAAAATTATGTTGCAAAAAAATCGAATAAGAAAGATAAAAGTTTAATTTTATTATATAATATATATGATTAACTTTGAAATTGTGCGAGATTTGTATTTTTAATAGTTCAATATATACATGACTTACCAACGCATAAAAAAATGACGTTGCAACTGCCGAACAATCATTAAAAACTATGTTTTATTTGATTTGGAAAAAAATGTCTTTCACTCGAGAAAATATTAATTTGATTTCGATGTTTGATTTATACAATTTTGTATATGAACATTTATACACACAAAAAATGACATTTGTAATAGTTCAGCCGTGTGGTGGTAAAATTTCGAATTACAACCTTTACTTCTACTTGTTTTGGCCATTTTCATACTACTATTTTTCATTAGCTCAGTTCGACGTCAAATAATGCAGACACTTTAAATTCAATATACCAAAAGATCATTGATTTATAGATTTCATTGGTAGTAATTCACGATTTCACCGTCAGTTTGCGTATTTATTACCGATCTCGTTTTATGTGTGTAGAACAGAAAAAAAATAGTAACCAGAACATCGAAAGCTATTTCACTGTGTGTTTGGATATGAATTAGATAAGATGTCGTTAACGCATTGCGAAATCGATGCGCGCTAAATGTGTTGGTGTGTGTATAATTTTATTCGATTGGATATTCATTTTCGTTTATCTCTTGTAACCCATACGGTGCATGATGGTCATTTCTAAATGGTTCCGACTATGGTTGAGATGCCATTCGTATTCTAGCTGTTGCTCTTGATTTATTGTGAATTTCAGCCGTACGCAATGTTATTCCGAATATGTCTTCATGATATCGATTTTGATCCTAACGAGCAGAAAAATTTGTTTTTGTTGTTATGATTATAAAATTGGAACTGTCTCAGACTTTATAAATAATGGATGCGTTTTATGGGTATTGGATAATCTTCAAAGAGAATAAGCTACTCAAGATCAACTCTGTCATTTGACCATACAGCGATGTAGGCAATCATAATAAAATTTAATATTAATAACACTAAAATCGATTGGAAAAGCACAACGAGTGGAAAAATAACCACGTTTGTATACAAACAAAGTGAATTGACTTACCCTTAATGCCAATAAATACTTTTCCACTTCCGATTCAGTTTTGACCTCTTTTGTTGCGATTATTTTCCTGAAAGGATGTTAAAAGGAATATTAAAGGAAAAAGGCAGACAACCTCCATCATAATCATCATTTTTAAATGTAATTTTATACAGAGACACACACACGAGTCAATAAGCATTGTGCACTCGATTATGAATAATGCAATAAAATGGAATGGAATAATCGTGTACATGACATGTGATTTACATACCTAATCGTTAAATAAACGTGTTCAGCCATTGTAACATCACCGCACACATAAATGTGGCCTTCTTCGGTTACGATCAATTTATAAATGTCGTCGGCTTCCTTGGCAGCTAAGTCTTGTACATAAGTCTACCATTTACAAATATTTGATTGTTTTTTTTTTCGATACGAAAAATGGATGCAACAGAGTGTAATTTAATTAATAAAATGAGAGAATTTGGCTATATCTGGCTTAATGACCATTTTTAAGCGATTAAAAACAACACCATAGTGAAAAATATTACCTTTGGGAAATCTGGTTCTCTTGACATCGCTAAGAATACTCTATCTAAAATTTTCTTGTCGACCATTTCCTGCTTTTCATCACCATACAAATCCAATGCTTTGGTTCGACAACCAAAAAACAACCAAACCTTCGGCAACTGTTGAATAAAAAATAAACACACTTCCATATAGAAAAAACTTTTTGAACAAAATCGACAAGAGCACTTTGAAGTATTTTTGAGTGACATGTGAGTGAGTTTGTTGAAAAAAAATTACTTGTGTATTCGGATCTTGTTCCTTTAAATAGTCCCAGTGTTGCCAAAATGCTCGATATGGTGCGATGCCAGTGCCGGGTCCAATGAGAATAATGGGCTTCGATGTGTCTTTTGGCAAATGAAAATTCGACGCACTGCATATAAATAAATGATTTAATCATTGAAATTCCATGAATTTTCAGAACAAAAAGTGTGTAAACTTTTCGATTTTTTTTATTTCGGAACAAGATAAAACTTACTTTCGCAAAAACAAGAACACATTTTCATTCTCTTTAAGTCCTTCTAAATAATTGGAACACACACCATAATGTTCAGCACCCTCACCATCTTCGGCACGGTATTTGACAACGGCCACCGTCAAGTGGATTTGGTTTCGACATGTATTTGGACACGATGATATTGAATAGAACCGTGGTTGCATTGGACACAAGTGGGCGATGAACAACGAGGCTGGTGGTTTGCATGATGGAAACTCTTCAAGCACTTCGAGTAAGTGTGGCAATCGCCAATGTCGCCAATCTTCATATGCCGACGATTCCTATATACATTGAAATTGATATTATCAAAGAGATAATTTTAAATTAAACGACGAGATTAGTTTGTGAGTTAAAATGACAGCGGTACATAATGAAAGCAATTGAAATGGAAATCTGTAAACATAGATAAGAATGAAAAATCAAATTCAAAGCAAATATATGAACATTAAATGAAAAATGATGGAAAACAAAACAAAACAAAAATTTAACCCTCGTTCGCGGCCTGAATTTATTCGCCTTCACCGTCTGAAAATATCTCATATAAAAAGCAATAAATAACTGAAAAAACCGTCAAACCAAAACATAAAGTCAAAATTAAACAACAAATTAACAAAAAAAAAACCACTCAACCCATAGTAGAAATAAACACAGCGGAAGAAATTCCCTTTCCAATTTTGAAAGAAAATTATAACTTTTGAGATTAAGATAAACCAAGTAAAAATATTTCTAAAATTACGTTAGCTAATATGTTAAGCCGTTCTTCGTCGGCTTTATCTTCACAAAATGTTGCTAAAAGTGTTAAAAGTTGTCGTGTTGGTGGTGTTGTTATGTCCAAAAACCGTGTTAAAAGAGTCCGCAAAGAGCAGGCTGGTAATTTTTCGTGTGGTTCCCAGCTCTTTGTAACTCCTGTTTTGTTAAAAAAGAGAAAAACCAAATATTTTTTTATGATTAATGACAACAGTCATTTTGTGTTTCATCGCTTTACCATTGGTCGTGTGGTTTTCTTTCAACAATTGTAGCTGAAGAATTTCATCGAAATTATCAATGCCATTCAATCGGTTTAAAATGCCATCAACGATTTCTTTACGATTAGCAGGAAATATGCCAACATGATCGCCCGGTTGATAATGAACATTGTTTGCTTCGATTTCAACCAAAATTGTTGAACGGGTCGCTGTCGCCGAACGATGTAAATTCCGTGGTTTAACTTTTGTACGACCGATAACCACATTTTTATTATGATATTTGCCTAATTGAACATCAAGTGGAATGGTCTCTGCACTAGGCACTAAACGAACTGTGTCAATGGTTAAGGATTCATTGTGCAAAGTAGCGCTTGAGAATGTCTCGTCCGTATCCAAACAAAATGTTTCACAAGCCACCTAATGCACCAAAACATATACACAAATAAATATAAAATCGGTTTATTTCTATTATGAGCCAACAAATAATCTGGTTTGAACACTTATGGCATTATTTGTGAATGAAATTTGATGCGAATCAATTTACCTTAAAGACTTCCGGTGCCCATTTCCGAAAAGCATGCTCTTGACCGCACATTTCATCACCATAAGCGATTTTCGTAAGTCGTTCACCGCCCAATTCGCCCAAAATATTATCAACATACTTGCCGTACGCACAAAAGTTTGGATATGCCGACGAACCAAGCGCAAACACAGCAAAACGAACATTGGACAGTGGCCCGAACGTTTCTTCTGTATAGGTTTCAGTGGTTGAACCACGCAATGAATCCAATCGATCCATTTTACGCACCTGTTGGAAGCTCACTTTACCAAAGTCGGAACGTGAATTGGCTCTCATGAATGATTTCGATGACACCGTTATACTGCAATAAAACAACAAATGAAATTTTTTTCTTTCGTTTTTTTCTTCTCAAACGGAAGCATCATCATGATTGCATGTACAAATAGCAATGTATCACTTGATGGAATGGAAAAGAATTGCATGACACAAGAAGTCATCGTGTTGTTGATAGGTGTGTCTCGGGATGTAAATTATATTGTATTTTATTACATGCGAAAAATGAAAATAAATGTGCAAAGATTCTAATTACATTGGAGCAAGTGATACGATTGTTTGTGCAAAATTTCAAAGAAACAAAAAGAGATATGTGTGGCAACGATGATGAAGCAAAGCAAAGCAAAGACAAAACATAAAAAAAATTGGAATTTACACCACAGAAGTTTGCGTAGCATAAAAAACCCAGTGAGTGATACAACATGTTAAGTCTTGAGTAAATATTTATGTAATTTTACAGCCAGAGTAAATGCATTTGTCAAATGGTGAAAAAAATATATATATGAACGAAATGAAAAAAAAAATAGAGAAAGAGAAATTACCTCTTATGATAGTCGGTGCTTTCGCCGCTCTCTTGAAGTTTCATTGCATATAATCCTTGTGCGAATTCCTTTTTGGGTCGCGCAAACAGCATGTGCAGCGTACATGGTTTTTTTTTTTTTGAAAATGCAACAGATAAACACAATCCCCAATTGGGAAAGAAGAGTAGTAGCAATGAGAGATTTATTCAGTGTGTGGACGTTGAAGAGGTTGTCATGCAAATAGAATAAAAAACACACACACACACAAAGATGCATGTTTTGGAATGAAAACCAGTTTTTCTTGTCGTCGAGTGGAAAAAGTTTATTTTCAAGTGTAGTTCATTTTTTTGCTGTCTTTCTGTTTATTTCAAGTGGATTTTGTATGGCATATGTCTTTTCTCTCTCTCTCTCTCTCTCTCTCTCTCTCTCTCTCTCTCTCTCTCTCTCTCTCTCTTCTCTATTTGTCTGTCACAAGTACATTGTACAAGTTCTTCCATTTGAATTCATGCGCAAAAAAATTTAAACAAATTGTTTGTCGTGTTATTTCGTTCGAGAATGAATGTGTGCGCAAATAAGAAAAAATGGGTCAATTTTCGAATTCGTCTAAACTTTGACCATAAAAACATTCACACGCGTCTATCAGATTGTGTGAGTGACAACCTTCCGCTTTTTTGAGTTGAGATAAATCGCAAATAGAGATTAAAACCAGTCATTCAACGTACAAAAAAATGCATACAGCAAAAAAGAATTTGATAGAGAAAGAGAGAGAGCGAGAGAGAGAGAGGGAATCTAATCAGTCCAAAGCTTTTTTGCAGGAAATATTTTTATTCAAGAGATGACAACTAAACTTGAATTGATTGTGAAAGAAATGCTATGACAATTGTATCATATCCCACACGAAAATTGGAATGTTTTCTTGTCGTGCTTTTTAATAGAATTTAACTTTCCCGTTATTTAACTGCCTGTGCATGGAAAACGAAATCCTATTATAATGGAAGAAAGCCGACACAGAATGGGTTTGTGGTAGTCTATTTGCACGACACAAAACCTCAAAAGCGACTCAACAATTGAGTCTAATATTTTTACAAAAACGCATACATTGATATTTGGATAGGATATATCCCTAAGATCTCCGCAAGAGCTGGATCTAAGCGTGCGTACGCCGCCGCTTGATACATGCATTCGTTTTACCGTGTTGTTTCGACACGCAAATAATAGTAGGCGAACTAAGAAGAATGAATCTGCGTGTCTATGTAACCATGCGGCGAAATATGCACGCTGAGATCTAGCTCTTGCGGAGATCTTACGGACCTATCCTATCCAAAAATCAATGTATGTAAAAACTATAATATCTTTATAGTTGAAAAATGATATTGAAAATAGAAATAGAAAACGCTGTAGTAGCTTGCCGTGGAAACTCATGTGGAAATCGTAATCTATTTCCTGTATAAGATCCCGCCGATAAATTACCAAGAATATGAATATTTATACGAATATTTATACGAATATTTGCAGTACCCTTAGATACCTACACATAATATTGGATAATCAAGTCAAATGTGTAAGCTGCTAATATAAACATTCGTGTCTAATTTATTCATAATTTCCTTTGAAAACTGTCATAATTTAATTGCATTACATATGTTAATTTGACGGATCCATTTTCCGAATTTGATAACTAGCTTACGGACGTAAATTGATTTTTAAAAATCCCCTTGTCAAATTTTGCCTTTCAAACAGAATCCTATTACGTTCTTTTATACAAAAAAAAAATTAAAAACATATTGTGTGCATACCTCGCCGTTTTCTGGAGGGTCACCATTGCCAAATGTTGATGCAATAACCAGTAAGAGCGCCTCGTGTTCAATAGAAGAAATGTCGTAATCACTCATGCAATAAATCTGAAAAATAAAAAAATTATCATCATAAAATGATGTAAAAAAGATGTTAAATATGATATTAAAACAGAATCGTTCAATTGTTATGGAACAGATCGGGATTTTTACACAAAATAAAATAATTGAACAATGATGAATCAAAATGGAAAATTATTGTTGGTATGCGGCGATGCATAGGGCATTTGATTTTCAAGTAATTTCGCCCACGGCAAGAAATATAATCCAGTTATAGCACATGAATGAAAAATGCGTCACAAATGCTCGGCATTATTTGATTACAATATTAAATAATTCCTTTCCATCATGCTGCCATCATTTTTGGCAAATTTCCATACGATTGAAATGACGTTATTATTCAATTTCAAATCGATTCAAATTACATCATAAGTGGTGTAATTATGAAAAACACAAACCACTAAAATATAATTATTGGCAATTCTAAGCGTTGTTTATTCTCTGCATTCTTCATGAAAACCCACTATAAAATGCATTTCCAGAGAGGATCCTTAGCAAATTGGCATGAAACCTTGCATATTGAATGATTGCCGCAGATTATTTTCACTCACAACCTAGGGGAGAGAAACCAATGCTAGTTTTTCTAGTTTATAGCTAATTTACTAGTTTTTAGCTAATTTACTAGTTTATTGCTTGAATAATCTAATAATGCTAATATTCCTTTATGAAATTGCTAGTTTTCTAGTTTTTTGTTCTGTCAAATGACAATCAAATGATTGTACTGACACAATGAAGTATTTTGACGTTTAGTTGTTCAGACATATTTTTATGTGTTTTGAATAATTATACACTTATAATAGTAAAAATTAGTTTAATTATTCTTTTTTAACACAAAATCGTGCAAAAATACTTGTATCTTTCAATAGTCGACTTGTAAAATTGATTTAGTTACCAAATCATGGCACAATATCAAAATGGCGGGTCAAATAATTTTTGCTAATTTTTCTAGTTTTTGCTAGTTTTTTTCTAATTTTCCTAGTTTTTACTTGAAACAAAAAAAAACTAGCTAATGGTTTCCGTCCCCTAGCTCACAACTCTCTCTTTATCTTTCTCGCATTCAATTGAATTTCATTCAATGATAAATGTTGTTGAAGTTCATGCAATGTTCTTTTCATTTTTACCTCAAACGTATCTTTTGTGTGCAAAACTGTATGATGATATATCTCCAAACACGGCAACTTGGGAATGTCATGTTTTGATCTCATCGGAATAAACATTCATATTCAATGCTCGATTCAATTCATTAAGCCATTGCTTCGTCATGTATGAGAAGCAAAGAGTAAAATCCTTGCATACAAATGAAATGCTCATATTCGGTACATCCAAAATTGAAATGTAACAAATTTTGTGTGTTTTAAGTTCGCTTTTAGGGCTGACTAAGTTTACAAACGCTGGGGATGCATACGTGAATAATTTCGAGTAAATTAACATTGTCGCTGGAATATGGACACGTTGAATGTGCATGCAATGTGTTGTTTAGAAAATTTAATGCTAAGACGTGTCGTCGACTCCAAATCTGAATGTATGCTAATTTCGAGTGAAACATTTCAAGCGACAAATGTTTGCTTATCTATCCCAACGATCTTGGGAGTGACTTTTACCGTTCGAAAATCTTTAAATTTTCTTCTATTTTTTCTCCATCGGCTGTTCGTTTAAAATGATGAAGTGCTGTGGATTCGGTTCAGTAAATTTTCACATTTATTTCATTTATTCCAACTCAAATGGAGATAGCAGGTGATGATGTGATGAGACTCAACTGTTTCTTACATTTACACCGAGTCGTCTATTCTTTCATTTTCTTTCACTGTGGTTGACATTGTCCTAAAACTTCCGTATCATTTTTGTCGTTGAAAAGAAAATCACAAAGCAAGAAAATTGACGCAGTCATACAGCAACGTTTCATCTTCGTTTCATCAAAAACTTGTTTACCTTCTTTTATCGTTTGGTGGCAACCAGGACATCCTGCATATTTTATGCGAATCACCATTTTTCTTTGTCTGAATTGAAACTTTTACACCGTCAGCAATGGATTGTTGTTTACATTAATTTGTAATATGTTTCTTTTGTTGTTGTTTTTCATTATTTACCGAATAATAATAAGAATATCCACCAATGGTAGTTACGTGAAGTCATGATATTTGTGTAAAATGAGTAAACTTTCAAGTCAATTCGAAAATAAATAAACAACTACCGTTTACGAAGACATTTCATTGTTGACGTTTTTCATCTCTTATCATTTTAAGTTTTGCTTTAGAAATCAATACGGTTCCTGGTCACGTTGCATATTTACATCGTTCATTTCGTGCTAGTGCAAGGAATTGTAGTTCGCAGTTTGTCTTTCAAGCGAAGGTTGTTGTGTGCAATGACCATGATTTGGAAGTTGAAAAGATTTCAAGCATTTCTTTTGTTATTACATTTCGAATGACATCCTTTTGTGTCACACGTTGATTATGAACAACAGCGAAAATCGTGTGATTTTCCAATTAAAGCAAATTGGTATGATTTTCATTTTCAATACATCGAAATCAATAGTTTTATGCAAAATCCATGTAGAGAGTGGGGTATGAACGTCCCACACTCGAAAACAGATGGTTGCGACACATTCAACGGGCTCCTCAGGAAAATTGATTAGTTTTCGCTGATTGTGCTGACAATAATTTCATGTTCGAACAGCTCAATTATGCATTAAGGTTTGTATGCTCGACAAAAACCAGTTTTGTCAATGTCACAATGTTGAAAAGCTTCCAAATATCACTACAACAATATTTCAATTATCCGGAGTATTAATATCGAATAGTTGCATGCATATTATTTATTCAAACGAGAAAATTCACCCGAAGTGTGTGTGTGCTTGGAAGTGTCAATGAAATCATGTTACTGCAATCGAATCGAAATTCGACATGTTTCAAAAGTGTCCGCAGTGACTATGCACAAAAGCCAAAATGATATAAATAAAGTTTGAGCGAATGCTCACGCTGAAAGCTGCCGCAACAATTTTCGACCATCTGCAACTGAAAGCAATTAGCTAATGTGTTGAATACGTGTGAAAACAGATGCACAAATTATCCACCAGCTATTCTATTCAAATGCAGACACAACATACACACACACCATGCCATTGTGTTGGATAAATCGGTTAGCCCAAATGAATGTAAATTTTCGTGCTAAATCTAAAAAAGAAACATTTTCAATTTGCATTCGTCCATTCACATTCAATTGCCAAACTAGTTTTCAAATTGAATTGCAATCAGAATAGCTATTTAGAAGAACGTAGCATTCGCCAATGAATGTGGAAAATGCCATTGATGCTGTTGCGTTTGCCCAACAATGCCTCGATTCGATCTTAAAACCATAGTTCTATACAACACTCAATGGTTTCAGTGGACGAGAAATGGGAACCATGGCAATTTGATTAAACGCATTCATTTTGATGCATTCACACAATAGATCAGGTCACCCAGGGCGCGTTGTGTTGAATCAGCTTTTCAACATTTATATCACACTGACTAGATTATAAACTATACATACCTGAGCGTTGAAAGCGTGTCCCAATAGTTCAACAAGCTGCTTTGCATACTGTTCCGATTTTCCCGTTTCTGTTGCAAATAAAATAGTGGCTTTGATACGACGCGATAATGCACGACCAAACAATTTAGATGTAAATTTTACCGCTCTAGTTAATTAGCAAAATGGATCGAAAAAAAGGAAGAAAAAAAAAATTAATTTGAGAATAATCGTTTTTTTTGTACAGATATTGAATTGAAGATCCTGCAAGTAATTCAACAACAAAAAAACCAACTTTACTAAATGTGGTCCATTCCAATTTATATCAAGTATAAATTAAGTTGAATGTAGATGAAAAGAAAATAGTATGGTGAAAAGTTTCGCCTGTTCAAATGCTAATCTCTGAACAAAAAGTCAACATTTTCTAACAATACCCAATTTTAATCGTAATAATAAAGATAATAACTTCAGTTGTTGGATGTGTGCAAATGACATAGTATATAAAAGCTCAAGCGAAGCGTAAATTTGAAAATGCATTTTACTTTAAGTCACAAATGATGTAAACGAAGAAATCGGCACATGACCATCATACAAATGATACATATTGAGGTTTTCGCTCAACTGCACTCGAATGCAACCACAGAAAATATATATCTAAACTTAGATGTGAAAATGTCATCAAAACCGTACAAGAAGAATATATAAAATTCTTGGGGAGTATCACACGTGCGTAAATGAACATTCAGCATTGACTACATTGAATGTACAATGTTTCAAAATCCAATTTTCGTTCACAATTTCGGGGTGTCTAACTTTTTTTTGTCGTTGAATTAATAATGCATCAAGCGCAAGATTGAGACCATAAAATTACCTGGCAATTTGTTTGAAATGGAACTTGCGACGTGGTTTGCGTGACTTTGATTTATCTCGATCTTTTTTCCATACGTGCACTTTATAGGCCGGCTCTTGATAATCAAACGATGGTTTTAAGTAATATAATGCCATTTCCTGATGGAATACCGGAAGTACTGATGATGACATCGGCGGTACAATCCATACCCAGTCAGCAGGGCAGCCATTTCTGTAACCGTATAAAAGCAAAGTTAACGTGACCAAAGATACTCAAACATAAACATGCACGAATGTGCAGAGTAAGCAAAATCCAACTAATGGTTTGTTAATGGCAACTAATGGTAGTTGATTTTAATTTACCTTAGTTTTGTTTCATTTTCCAAATGCTTCATAAAACTCTCGCTGGCCGTATGGTGATCAACAATGGTGACATTGTGGCTTTGGTACGAGTGCAAAACAGCAATATTCACTTCAACAAGTGTTTTATCCTTCCACAGTGATGTCGGTGTACGTGTGTCCAAGTCCAGTTTTTGGGCAATTTTCTGTGTACATACATGTGAATGAGTCGTGGCAATTAAAATCAATGTTCATGACAACGGACGTTTAAATAAACAGAACAAAAAAAGGGTGATTGCATCCATTTGAAATGCATTGATCGAACATTCAGTCGGGTAAACATCAAACGGTGCACACTATTTTTTTATGGTTAAATGTTTTTTTTTTTGCAGGTCATATAAAACAATATCGCAATTTGTTCAAAAATGAATGGAAAATAGCTATTACTTTAAAAGGCTATAAACATAAAAAAGTTACTGCAGTAAATATTGATTTTCTCTTTATCTCGTTCTCGATGTGACAAGTTGGCAGTTTTTATTTAAACTGTTCATCGAAATCGGAAAAAGTCAATTAAACTGAAAGGATTTCCTGTAAATTTAACGACCTTTTTTGGCACTTTATGCCAGAAATGTTGGTATTTATATTATTCTTTTTATTATATTTTTTATATGAATGCTACAATTGATGCTCTTTTTACCATTCCATCAATAAATAATAATGCAATCTGTTTTACTTACTTCGATTAAATTTCTGCGATTCACGTCGCATAGATTTCTGCAACCAATTTCGGTCGACATATACCATCCACTGAATGATGTTGCTGTGAATTGAATGCCACCGCAATCGAACATCATGCTTGACACAGCCGGTACGGCATACCATCTCAAATTCAATTCCGAAAACCATTTGTATCTGTTAATCGAGAGAAAAGGGTGAGAGAAAGAAAGAACGAATGAAAAAGTGCAGAGAGAACACCATCACCCTCAACACAAGAAATCGAATTGCTCAATTCGAAAAAGAATATCGATTCATGGGTGAGAAATGATTCTCATCAATTTAAAGCAACCACCAGTTTGGTTTACCGCAACCGAACGAACCGAAATAAAAAAAAATTGTTGAATGACACAAATTATCGGGTTGAGACGACACTTACTTCGGATCGGGATGACTTAGTGGCACTTCAAGCACCAAATCCGGTGGGTAATCAAAATAATCTGGATCATGCCCACTTGCTGATACAACCAATGGTAGTATATCCCATTCAGTGCCCTTACCTTTCCAACCAAGCTTCGTACATACCTAAATGCCACCGAACAATGATTTATATATTTTTGTTAGTTTTTTTTTGACGATTTTGATTGAATTCATTGAACAGAGGAAATAGATTGAGAGAAAACAGTTTTTTTCTTGTGTATATAAATACCTCCGTGAATTCAACGTTCTGAGGATCGCCAACAACTTTACCATCAGGCATTCGATAACCAGCGTATGAAATTAATTGTGCATTCCAAATTCGATAATCATGACGGCCATCCGTTCGTTGAGGGAATATCGTTATTGCCGATCTGTGATGTCAATAAACCACATTCATAAGCAATTAAAAAATAAAATCAATTAAATTTCTTTTATCCAGTGTACACAATAAAATAAAACTCGTGATAAATTGCGTAATTAAAGGGCTTTGTACAGAAAAATGTCATTAGTTTTCCTTGGGAAAATTATTACTCTTCAATGAATTCATATATTTCAATGACGAACATTATTGAATGAACAATTTCATTTTTGCACCAATACAACGAATGAATGACACGGTCGCTTACCTCAAATTTCCTTTATTTGTTGCGTATTTGATGTGATTACAAATTGCCTCGAACATTCCGCTTGTCGTGGTTACCAATCGGCAATCAAATACCTGCGAAAAAAAAAACCAGAAACGGATTGTTTCAGACATTTTCTATAATTTATGACGAATGAATGACATAAATGCATCATAAAGTATGGCGTTGACTAATCAATTTGCACGCTGATTTGCCATGTGTAAATCAAATCACTTTCCATATGCATCGCGAGCGCAATGCATATTTTTGGCCTGAATTTTAATTACATTTTATGCAACAAGTTGACGTTTGTATATTGCTCGGTATTGGTGTGTGTGTATATGTGAGAATGGAATATAGAGCAAACCTCATGAGCATAATCGTATTGTAGTGAGCAATAACGGCACATTTTTGTTACAGCAAATGAATTCTCGATGAAGAATATTCAATTTTGTTGTCATTGCTATTGTTTCCGTTGTTCAATGCAAGTGATTGCTAAATAAAACGAGCGACATGATACGGTTTCCTCTCGTGTGACATTTTGACAGCATATTCCATTTTTTTCTACACGGCTGCAAAAATATTTATACCGCCGCATCACAAGTGGTTTGCCATTAATGGAAACAATATTTTTCTCTTTCCTGTCCTGCTCGTGGGGAAAGCGATTTACCGGAATTCAATTTTGATTCAGTTTTATAATATTCATGGAGTACCACCCTGCTTCTGTATTGCACACTTTTCAATTGCTCAGATGTTGACGTGACATTTTGAATGGAAGCGATTTTTTATTCTCCGAGGATTCGTTTTTTTATCGCAGAGTTTTTTCTCGACAATTTTTTATGAGTTTTTACTTACTTGTAGTTTCGACCACTGAATTCGACCAATGCAACGTGCCGAATTTCTCCAGGCCAATTTTGCACCATAAATCAATTCCGTTTCGGTTAGATGATATGTTCCTGTTGCTTCAATATCCTTTTGTACTTGTTGTAATCGGGTTTCGTGCGCTGGTGATTTGTGTCTGTGAACGAACGTGCAAATAGAACAAAAGACATGGAATTACAAAAGCTCTGCGTGAAGAATGAATGCGCTCAAATGAAACTTATGATCTAATAACACGCAATTCCACATCGCTCTCTCTCTCTCGCTCTCTCTCTTGTTTTCCACTCTCTCCTCGCGTAATGATACTTCAAATGTAATTCTAGTTCTTTAGTCTTTCGAAACGTGTTTTGCTGGTATGAATAATGTTATGTTTTTCAATTTGCTAAACTGTCACTTCGCATAATGGGCGGAATATCGTTCAAATTTTTGAAGCGTTTTTCTTGAATTAAACCTATTCAATTCAGATCACACCGCAAAAGCGCATGATTAATGAATCTATTTTATAAAATAAATTTATAAAAATTGGCATTAATATGAAACCGCACTCTCATTTTACATTATAATTAAAATAAACTATGAATAAATGTGTGTATTTAGTCTGCTTGCGTAAGCGAAATATGATGCTGTAAACATGTACAGTATGAAATTCTTTAAATTTGGTTTATATGGTTTACATATTATTATGAAAAGTAAATAATTTAATTGAGTTTTTCAGCTGAGCCATCGGACCCTATAGACATGGTTTATCGGAATCCAAATTACTCTTCAAAACAAATTATTTGCGTGCATCAAATATTATTAAAATTGAATTTTGTGCTGCTGTATCGATTGAGAAAAAAAATGTATCGTAAAATTTTGTTGATTCAGAAAAATACCCAACGCCGGAAATGGTGAATTTTTAAATGAATTTCATTAATTGAATTCAATGAATGCGAAGGTAAAAATATCACGATGAAATGAAGAAATCAAGCATGCGTTTTTGGTTGGCAGCATCATCTGCAGCAACTACATGAAAACAAAATGAATTAAATAATAATTCATGGAAATGTGTGAAGATTCCCATACACACATACATATATGATACGTATGTGTGCATATTTCAGTAAGTATCGTCGTAATCCTTGCCGAACAGCAGAATATTACATTTGCTTCAACAATTTATTGTAAAACGCCTGTCACTATACTATAGATCTGTGCGCTATGCACTACATATACTTGATGCTATCCATTGTTCTTTGTTATACATATATGTGATAGCGTGCTGTGATAAAGTAATATTTAACACAAATCTCACACTCTTTTTCTTCCGCACCTGGGTAATAGTTCATTTTTGTTGTAACTCTTTCGACAGATGAGTGAGTATAATCTTTGCCTCGGATTGGCGTTATGAACCCCACTCGACACAGAATTAAGAGTGTATAAGCGGTTAAAATATGCGGTTTTTAAGAGTATTTAAACATTTATGCCATACATTCACTCCTCAACCACTGCCGCCATCACCATACCATTTTGTTTTCACCCGAATCCATTTTCGCGCCACGGAAATCCATGTATATGCACATCGTTAAAATTATGAAATCTCTCTTTCAAACACGGTATTTTACGCTCGTATTTCTTCGAATGCATTACATTCGCTTCATTTTATTCGTTTAGTGGTGCAGTTTATATAAACATCGTTCGTTTAATAATGAAATAAAAAGCCACGAACCAGTGGTTTTGCTCCATTTACAACATGTTATTTATTGCATTTGCGCACCACATTACACGCTGACCACATGAAAATATGCATGAAAATTACTGTCATATTTTCTTGTAAATTTATTTTAATACATGGGTCATTTGTCAAAAAAAAAACAGCCAACTGTTGCTTGTTTGTTTTATAAATCGCTTTCACAACAACACCTTTGTTATGTTACATGTGCCAACCAATTATAAACAAAAACGAATGCCATTTTGTTTCCAGCTGGTAAGAAGTGAGCGATAAAACCCGAATCGCTTTTATTTACAGATAAAAATCTCTTGAAATGAAATTGTCCTCTCGTCCCCCGAAGCGATATGTATCTTGACATGGCTGGTACACTATTGAGTTACAATGCCAAATTCCATATAATCCGATGTTGAATGCTTGTCAAATGTAAGCTTAGCATGTGTCAAACTAAACGTTCAACACTCAAGAAATTCACAAATCACAATAAACTTCCAAATACCAAAAGCGTAGGACTTTTGTCACTGACTTGATAGAGATGGAAAACAAGTCACAAATCAACTCAAACATTGCAGATGATTTTTGAAAGGTTAAAGATGTATGCAAAATATGTTACCCATAACACCCTCCTTATCCAATATTCTCATGGAATTCACCGACTTGAAATGATTTATATTACAAAACACGGATACAGGCCACTTTGTACAGTCATTTCATGTTCATTTGAGGATCAACGATTCAAATGTTCTCTCGACACATTGATGAATTCTTCGATTTATCGAACATTTCTCTAAAATATCGACGATTCAAACTAAATTTCGGATGCCCAACGACGTTAAGGATACATTATTATTTGTACAATTTAATGCAAATATTTGCAGACGGAATTCAATGGAAACGAGATTAAATTGAAGGCGATGACCCTATCTTACCTGCTTCACGTGCTGAAATGCAACATCTTTTGTACTCGCATAGTGAATCGATTTGTTTGGGTGGTCTGTGCGATTGTGATTTGTATCCAAAGTGTCGATTGTCGTTCTTGATTCATCCACCTTCATTTCAAATTCACCTGAGCGTATTTAATATGGTTTGCACGTTTCCTTCTTTCAATAATCTATTAAAAATTCCATCCACTGAACGTTGTCTTCACCACAAACATTATGCACTTTTTTTTTGCTACCATGGATAATTTGATTTCGTTACTTCCTTCGAATTTAAAATGAAGAGAAAAGAATCAACTTTTTATCTCAGAAAACGACAAGAATAAGTTTTCGTTGGTTCATTGTACGGTTTGGACAACATTTCGATTCATGAGTGAATTTCGGAATTGTTATCGTTATGCAAAAATTGCGACTTTGAAGTGGAAATACTATCGAAAACAGAATATATATATTTTTCGGAAAATGTATTTCCGTTCTGTTGGGCATTAAAATGCTTCATGGCTTCTGAAGGATTCTTTCAATTTGACCTAATTTAATACGTCGAACACTCCTTCTCTCTTTGAAAACTTGAAAGTTATCGGTTCATAGGATTTTATTTGACGATTGAACAAAAACCGACTCAATTTTAGATGAAAGGAATTTCATTTTCTTTCATATTCATAAAAATACTTTGGCCGAACGTCGAGTGTATTAATTGATTTTGTAAGCAATACACTTCGAGTACATAATGCATTTCATTGAAATAATTGTTGATCCCACACAAATACATCTATATATCTCTATTTCTTTAATCAACGTTTTATTATAGAGGTTAAAACTATAATGCTATTCCTAATTTATACCTTCTTCCATTCTATTTTCAATTTTCATTTTTTTACATCCACCAAAGAAAGAGTGAAAATATTGGATAAAAGTGTGTTCTGAGTGGTCGATTGTCATATTACGGTCGGATTGTTCTATCTATTTGGTAGCACAGAAACGTATCTCACCATTAAATAAGACCACAAAATTAATTACGTTATAGCAACGTGAACGGACTCATTTTTTTCGCTTTTCATCGCCATTCATTAATAATATATAATCTTCCTGGTTAAGCATCGTCACAATGGCAAGCCGTAAAGAGAAAAATGCGCGTGGTATTTTGAGCACATGGTATAAGGAAAATAAGTGCCGGTTTTAAGTGTATTTGGAATTTGAGATATCTCATCGTCATCTTCATGTAGTTGAAAATGTCGTTGACATGTTTCTTTTATGACGACATCATCATCATCACCATTTGATTATATGAATCTTATGATCTTGTCAATTTAAATTCATTCATTTAATGCTTGTTCACACCGTAACATTATTACCATTACGACCAGCACCACCTCCTCTGCCACCACAATAACATGATGAAATGACATAAACAAAACAAGAGTACGAATTTTATTTGCCGTCGCTCGAATGATAAATGAAAACCGGAAAAATCGTAGCCAGTTTCCATTTAGCATTTCAATACGAGAAAAGTTTTATTGATCTTATTTATGACATTATTCATTAAACATTGCGATAAAATGCACGATACAACGAACGATTTGTTTGGCACATGCGAACGTGGTTTACTTTATTGATGAGATAATCGAAGCAAGTTTACTGGAGAATCTTCGCTGCATTGAATTGAAAGTGTGAAATATAAACAGACAAAATACCACCGTAACCACCATACAATTCTAATAATCGAATTTTCCATTCACCCTGAAGAACCAAAGAAGTCATACAATCAATATTTGTTTCCACTTCCTTCGTTTGGAATTTGAATGAAATATACCAAATACCGACGGTTGAATTCCATGCTATAGATTCCGTTGCATTCCGATTGTGCAGACAAAAAAAGCGAAATTTTTTAAATATTCAGTTCGATTTCAATTGATAGTCCGATATAGAGAAAAAAAACCGACCGACTGGAACCACACAATCAAATGGAAGAGTTGAGAGCATAAAAACGCTGTATGTGAAATGTTATGGTTACATTGCTATACAAGTGTCTTTTTTTTCTCTGTGAAGCATTCTTCAGGTATCAAGAGAGAATGGGCACATTCAATGAATTTCACATATTTTTTTTGTTATACTTTCAATTTGAAGTGTACTGAATTATAATTCAACATCAATTGAAATAATGGAAACTGTGCCAATCTTTACGTGATCATTTAAAATGGAAGGCAAACATAGTAACAAATAATAATAGAATCGGTTTTGTTTTGTTCATTTTTTTGTCGCTCACTCTGCAATTGAGACGAAAAGAATTCCAAAGCGAGCTGCCATTTGATACAAGCAAAACAATAAATATTTGTATAAATGTTGGCTGGCATTTTTCCTCTCCACATTTTTCGCTATGTAAAACTTGCAATCGCAGAAAATCATTAAATTAAATCACTTTTTTTGCTGCACATTCATCGTAATATTTTATGTACATCCGTGTTGTTACTGGTATGGTACGTGTTGCACATTTTACCTCAAGTTAAATTCTAACGAGAGAAAAAACGCGCGCGCGTCAGAACCTCGGTTATATCTGTTGCATCTATAATATTTTTCATTCTCTCCCTCTACAAGTTGCAGTTAACTTTTCTTATTTATTAATGAATTCTCATAAAAAATGCAACGGCGAAAGAAAATCGCTATTTGAAATGTCTGATGCAGATACTCTCCGTTTATTTTTTTTTGTGTGTGTGGTTTTCCTAGTGCTTGTATCGGACACACCAACAATGAACGGTGGTTTATGGCATGTCCAATGTTGGAAGCAACACACAAAATAGCATCTCCATTTCCCGTTGCCATTCGCTTCTCAAGCACTCGTCGTTTCTCCCATTATTTACTGTTGCCAACGCAAATGAGCTAATAAAAATAAAATAAATCGAAATGCAAATCGTTTTCATTTATGATGTTTCACCGTGCATAACCATCGAGACCGCGTGCATACTCTTAAGCAACTGAGTTTTCTTGTTTCCACAGATGATGAAGATAGCAATAAAAAATTGATCGACATCAAATATATATCGATGTTATGCGCTCGATAATGTTCAGTCGCTTTAAATTTAATTATGATGTTACTAAAAACGAAAAAGCTTGTGCTTGATATCGCAAACTTTTTCGCATTCAAATAATTATATTTTCAAATCCCTTTGACATAAAGTGAGTGGAGCAACTCTAGCATGCCATCAGGACTCTTCAATTTGCTACATCAAATTTGGTTTACCGAAACTAATTTAGCTACTTTAAGATGATTACTGATGTTAACTGGATAAGAGTGTGTAACTGGATGGATGTGTTTGTTATAACATGTAAAATAATGTAGGTCACTTTTATGACATTGGTGACAAAAATGGTTATGTGGGTGTGTGTGTATGTATGTTTCTTACTTACCGCCGAATTGACGTGAAATATTGGTCGAGAAAATCTTTGGCATGTTCAAGCACCACTTCTGCTTTGCGCGCATCGGTTGTTATTAATGGAAAGTTTGCACCGTGCACAATGCTCCCCATGCAAATGGCTTTCGAACACGATAACACATTGCTTGATGGTTGCTGCAAAGACCAAGAAAAGAGAATTTGATTTTTTTTCTTAAATCTTGTTGTAATAATAATAATAAAATTAAATGAATCCTGTGTGCTTTTGTTGTCTATGCTGAAGAAATCACCGACTATGACCAAAATCACAAAAACTCAATTAGGTAATCTTTATCAAAAATTAAGGCATTCCCTTTGAAAACTTCATTTGAATCATAGTTATCAGATTAATTTTTCACAAAGTGTTCAACTACACGACGAACAAAGTGGATTTTTTTTTGTTTTTTTTTTTTCCTACAGTCTAAATTGTGGATACGGTATAACTTATACTACAAGCACTGAAGCATCGTCTTTTTTTACCATTACAAACCAACGTTATTTACAATTCGGGAAGTTGAAGTTTTTGAAAATGATTTTTCTTTTGTATTCAATTTATAACAGACAACGAACACTGTTCAGCTATCTCTAGAATTTACATTTTGCATTTCTTTGCATTGAGCTTTAGCACATACAATGCATTCATATGTGTTATGATACCAATTCACTGAATTTAATCCAAAAATGTGTATGTCGGTGCAAGAAGAGGGACACGGTTTTCTTTGTACGAATGAAATGGAATAAATACATCAAAAGGCACATTTCATGCGCTGCATGCACACCGATTTTTATCGACTCAACATTCTCTCCGCATGTTTGTGATAATACAATAACACATAAAAGCAACGTCCGGAAACCATCCACAAATATAATCTCAATATTTGTGAGCGACTGCACATCGTGATGCTATTAATCAGTAAATTATGTGAATTGACGAGCTACCTACGAAATGCACAATAAAACGTTCCATTTAAACGTGCACATTCAAACTCTTACTTGTTTTTGAATGATATTTTAGTTGAATTGGGCGATTTTTTTTTTTGAAGCAGCACTGCACCTGAATACTGTATCTTATTTCAACTGAAGCATATGTGAATCGAATGAATGTTCTTTTGAAAATTCAACAACTCATGGCAGAAGCCTTGTGCTAAAAACGAGTCTATTAAAACAGAACCAAGTCTATAAGTGAAATTTGAACGTACTTTTACTATTTCTATTCCAAAATGAAAAGAAGTGAAAAACGCAGTCCCAAACCACAAACAAAGTTAAAAAGTCATTTTATTCGCAGCATTAACGTAAATTAAGTGCAAACTATTGATTTTTAATCAGTCGGCAATTTGTCGATTTTCTTTCAATTTCGATCAATTATTAATTTATTACTGTTTCTAAATGATTAGCGACGTAAGTGAATGAAAAACATCAAACGATTGGAAACAAGAAGTTGAAAAGTGAATTTTCTGATCATTAATTTCTTCTTTTTATAGACAACGTCTTTCGTCTAGTCTGATATCGTTTTTCTCCCTCCTGCTGCCATCCTCATTCGACGAATCGAAAGTATTTGTCATTTTCTAATCGCTACTGGAAAAAGAAAGATTTCACTGTTTTTCTGAAGATTTCGAAAAAGAAAACTTGTGAGTCATTAGTCGAATATGTCACTGCCACTGCATTTGTGCGTGGGTGTTTTAATTCAAATAAAAACATAATATCAAGCGATTATGAAGAATGTCTTGAAATAAAGTCAAATAAAATAAATCATTGATTTTTCGTTGTAGCTCATCATACACTTGCACACATGCTAGCCCAATAAAAATTTTGAAGGTGCACAGAACCAATTTCACAGTGGATTCGTAAAAAAACTTTTGTAGATTTATTGTGGCGTATGTTTTAGCAAACGTGGCATGTTTTATGATGCCAACGACATTGGCTCGGCGATGGCAAATTGAAATAATGTGCTCACGTGTTCTTAAAAAAAAAGTCAATGCACAAAATTGTTTGTTAAACGCCTGACTGACAACGACCTTAACATTCACACTTCGTTTAGCTTTTCGAATACACTCCTTTTTTTCATACCGAAAATTTCCCGAAAAAAAAAAATATTTCATTTGCAGATTGTGATGAAGGAAAAAAACGATTTTACACAAAATATTATAAATTAGATAAAAGCAAACATGAATTCAAGAAATGATTTCAAACATTCGTATTTTCACCTCATAAACATACACACATACATAAATTAAAGTTTTTCGCCTCCGTCAAAAGAAAGGAAAAAAATTAAATTCAATTTACATTTCCAGTTGGTTCACTCTGTCGTAGACGCTTAACGAATGACGACGGTATATTCTTTGGATCTTTTCAAATGTGCTTTGGCTTAATTAGATCTCGTCTAAAAAGCATTTGGCATTCATTTCATCAGTTATTCTTATTTCTGTTCATGAAGAAGACTTTATTCACTCGAACTGAAATCATACAGCATTCGTAAATTGGCCGGTGCATACTGATGCGTGTTAGCAGTAGACATTTTATGGGGAAAAAATGTAATTAATGTGAGACGCTCAACTCTGATGAAGAAGTGAAATCATTTTAGGTTCTAGGTCAATGCTATTTATTATAAATACAAACATAATGTTGTTTATAATTTCGAAAGGGTTTGATTATTTATGTCAATAAAAGACATGAAAATGACCAATAACGGTTTTGTGAAATGTTTTCTTTTTTGAAAATTATTATAGTTTTAAGCATGGAAAACTGTGATAGATGGACTTAATAACCCGTTTCATCCAATGGTGTAAAAACCAAGTTATAAGCAAAAACTTTTTGATTTAATCGAATCAACTGAGCAATTCATATGTTTGAACTGAAATGTTGATGTTTCAACACAGATAATGGCTTAAACGTCTAATATTGTATGATAATTTGCATATATTTTATAAAATCCTTCCTTCCGCTCTGCATAGTAATGGACGATTAAGGCGAGTAAAGTATCAAACACTGGAAAGAGTAATCCGAAGTGAAACATAGTAAAATGAACCATTGACGACTTTTCAATGTTGAATAAAAGTTTGTACATCAAAAATCTTATCGATAAATGTTTCTCTATTCGGATAAATCATTGTCCGATTACTCTGTCTGTATCAAATAATTTCCAGAGGGTGCTAAACTTTTTGACATAATTTGACTTTGAACAGTATTTTGTTTGCCACACAGTTTACGAACTAAATGTTTTGAACTGTATACCATGTCGACAATATCCGAGTGGAAAATGTGAGATGGATGAAAACTAACGGCAAGGATGAATGGTTTTAACAAAGGCACTTTATGTTTAAACATATACGTAACATGTGTGCTGTGTGAAATGCAAAAAAAAAAGAGAAATAAATATGAGCTATGTTACAGTCAACCGACTGACTAATCTGGTTTTTATTTAAACAAGTGCCTCCGCTGTGCATACAACACGCGCTCGCACAGCTTGAACATATAAATATTTGCATTTTATTCGGTATGCATTTTCATAGAACACGAATATGTACAGACAGAGTTCTGCGGAGTGCTTGTTGAAAAACTCTCACAATATGATTTTATTCGTGTGAGATGAATATGTTTTGTTTGCTGTTATATTCTTTGTTTTACTGCATTTCAATTCAAAAATAATTTCATTTTTCGTAAATTATTCAAGAGACGAAACAAAACACACAGAAAAAACAACAACCTGAATTTACATGATGCCAACGCACTTGCATGAAACGAGTTAATTTGATGCTGATAGAGGATGAAAGTGAATTGTGGAAATAGATCTACCGAAATATTTTCGAACAAATTAACCACAATTTGAAAATAAACGTGTTTAATGGACGTTTTCATCGGGTCATCAAAATTCTGACGATGGTAAAAAAGGGTGTTTTTTTGTTTAATCACATGCAGCCAAGCACTACCGTAAATTGCAACCTTTTCCATTCCACTATACGTATCAAAATGCAAATTTAATTAAATTGAAAACGCTCAGTTAATCCGCACGAAGGTTCGAAAGATTCAAAATGATGAAATTTTGTGTTTCATCGTCAGTTTGAACGAATTTGGGTTAAATTTTAAAAGTGAATCAGATTTTCTGACTACATTTTAAAAGAGTTTTCCATTTAACTTTGAGAAAAAAAAATAATTTTTTCTTCTTAAACCTGACCCAAATCGTTGCACACATTTTGTATCGCTGAAATTAATTTGCATAAACTTATGCAAAAAGAAAACACATTTGATACACTTTTGATGCCACATATTTTCGACAAAAACTGCGTCAAAATGAAATGAGTTTCTTTTTATGCTTGTAAATTCAATACAAACTACATTATGTTACCATGTTGATTGAGGTTGAATTAATGTAGTTTTTTGTAATGTATTCATTAAGTTTTGATGGCCATTATGGCAACCTTAAGCAAAAGTGCTAAACGTTGAGAAGCTTATAGATGCACAAGCACATGGTACTTTGGCGAAGGGTCATTGTTCAAATTTTATGCTGGAGTGGAGCAATTTGGAAAAACATTGAAAACGAACACAGCATTTTTACGGCATCTCTATTGAACCACGGGGCCAAAACCATTGGATAATGAAAAGAATAAGTACTTTTACGTTTAATTAGTGTGATTTTCCATTCGACTTCCAGGAAACAGTGTGAAATAAATGGATGGAAGTGGCAACAGTAAACAATAAAACATTTTGGATAAACATTGTCGAAATTAACAGGAAATGCTTGAGTAATACGAACATAATACTGTTTCCGTATGCAACCGAACGCTTTCAGCATGTATCAGCACGTGCTCATTGATACAAGCAAAGTTGCTTATATTGTAAATATTATTATGAGTCGAATAATCATACGACATTTTCACGAGTGTATTTGAAAGAAAAAGCTCAGAATAAAGTATATTTTTCGCACGAGAACACTTTTTTGGCGCAGACAAAACCTTCTTTATTTGAAATCGTTCGATGAAATTCATTCGGAAAATGTATGACTTTCGATTATTCTTGTGTCCACCATTAGAATTTCATTGCGTTCAAAAGACCGCTTGACTTCTTGAAAATTCCTCTCGTTTTGAATAATTTTTTGGTCAACATCGAGTTTTATCGGTTTTTAACATTGGATACAATCATTC